ACTTTTTAAGCGCAAAGACAATCAAGTCCTAAAAATATTTTTGTGGACAAATAAGTCCTACTTTTACAATTTATTTCCAAATAAGTTCAAATTTATTTTATTTTCCAACATTACCCTTTTTTGTCCTTTTCAATAATTAGGCCGGGGAATCTTCATATTCTTTTCACGTGGGTAGAAAATTAACACAGTGAAATCACCAAACAAATTAATACATAGAAAATACAAAAACAAGGACTTAATAATATGATCATCCATATATACTTCTATAAGAACATGGTGAACAAAAATCTTTCTTTAGTTCTCACACCACCGCACATTCCTATCCTTTACAGTTCGTGTAACATACAAGAGATGCACCCGAACAGTTGAGACAATTGCTTGTCCGCTTTTCTCTTCTTTTGGGCATGTCCACAAGCTGAGTTATTATTTTTGTATATACTCAACAAAAGCAAATATGTAATCATCAAGGATTTGAACACATTAAATTAGCTAATATTATCCATAAAAATGGAATAATCCAGTCTTCAACCTCAATAATTGTCTGATACACTACATCAACTACAATATCAAAGAAATCCTGATACATAAAAATGGAATAATCCAGTCTTCAATCTCAATAATTATCTGATACATTACATCAACTACAATATCAAAGGAAAAAAACCTAATACAAAAAAATCCAGCCAACAATTCATCATGCCAAAAAGTATGCTTCTAGATGTGATGCAGGATTTTTCACCAAAACTTCAACCTTCTAAGTCAAAAATCAAGTCAGTTTCTTTCAAAATTGCAGTCACTAAGGAATCACATCACTTGCGAAGTGAAGAAAAAAATAAAGTTAGAAGAGAAACAAAGACGAGATGGAATTAATATATATAAATAAAAACATACTCCATCACGAATTGCATGAAACTTACCCAATAATTGGTTGTTTACAAGTTTTTCGATTATGCCCGACTGTAATGCGTCGACTGCAATGAAATTCGGGAAAATTCCACCCTAGTCCTACTTTTTAAGCCCAAAGACAATTAAGCCCTAAAATAATTTTTGAGGACAAACAAGTCCTAACTTTTGCTACTTATTTCCAAATCAGTTCAAAAAAATTTATTTCCAATATTACCCTTTTTTTTTTTTTTTTTGTCCTTTTCAACAATTAGGGTTTGGAATCTTTATCTTCTTTTTCATGCGGGTTAATAAACATTCGATACAGCTGGATAGAGCTCCTTCAAACAAACGAAGAGAACCACACCAAATCAAGAAAACGAAGCAAGGCGAAAACCTTTTTGCTTATTCATCGTCATCTACCATTTTTTCTGGTAATTTCAGGTAAGGTAGCACTTCTTTCTATTCTTTTATTTGAAACTTTATCTTTCAGATTTAGATTGGTGATTTGATGATTGGCCCAGATTTAGACTATGTGCAGAGTTTTAATTAAGGTTTTCCAATTTTGTTCCCATCCTGAAAGGGAATGGTTTTTACCTTTCCACCTTCAGTGGGGCGATTGGTCTTATAATAAGAATTTGTTTACTGATATGTTGTTACGCCATCTTTGGGATCCCCATTCTCTCTTCTTTTATTTTCTCTAGTCACTTAATGCTTCTATAAATTCATGTGAGATGCTATTAACTCGTGCAATTTATTTTTTGATTTGTTGTTAATTAGGATTGTGTGGTGATCATTTTTTCATAGATATATATATTTATAATTTGATGGTTAATTGAACAGGGGCTAAAAAATGGATTCTTACTTTAAGAAAAACATATTTTGCTATTGTCATATTGGAGGAAAGATTATAACATGTGTTGACAAGTCCGTGAGAAATGAAGGTGGTTTGATTAATGGTTTTCCCATTGATAAACATGTTGTGTATCATCAATTTGTTAGAAAGGTTCATGAGATACTTGAAATTTTAGACAGTACTTTAACGTTAAAGTACAGTGTTCAGGCCGATAAGGCACGATTATTGCCTTTAAATGGGCAAGATGCATTGAAAAATTTACTTAGATTTAATGAAGGAATTGCAGATATCTGTGCATTTGGAGAATGTAATCCAACAACAGTTAGACATCAAAATATAAGGTAAGTTCAAATAAATATGTTTGTTTCTTTTAGAGAGTTTATTACAATATGGATAATGCATGCATGTACTAATTTTTATTTATTGCTAGGAATTCCACAAGCCAAGCACCAACTACCAATGTCACAGTTATGTTCTCAAGTATTGATCCAATAACACCACTTGTTTTAGATTTATGGAAGTCATTGATAAAAGAGGAAGGACAAATTTTTGATGGTGTTGTTAATGTTTGAGGTATACTACATAAGTTTGCACTAGCCAACCGATTTATGTTCAAGTATGTTAAGAATGATACTTCATCTATAAGGGCCAAGTGTGTTGTGGTTGCTTGTCCTTGGAAAGTAAGTATTGGCCAAGTTGGTTATTCTGGGATTTATATGGTAAAGAAATTTGTAAAAGAGCATATGCACTCAGCTCAAGATCAAATAGAGATGAAAACTTTAGTTCCGGCAAGATTTATTGGGAGTATAATGAAGGAAAAGATTAAAAAAAAACCCTGTTTACCTACCGATGCAAATTGTTTCAGATTTTTCAACTGATTATTCTTTGAACATTAGCTATAAGAAAGCTTGGCGGGGTAAAGAGAAGGCAAAAGAGGCAGTTGATGGGGGGTAATGAAGGACTCTTATAAGCTTCTTCCTTGGATGTGTGAGTGTTTGGAGAGTTCAAATCCAGGAACTGTTGCAGTATACACGAGCGATGATGAGCAAAGATTTCATCAGCTTTTTATTGCATATCATGCTCCTCTTCATGGATTTCGTACCGGATGTCGTCCATTATTGTTCATTGATGGAACTTTTTTAAAGGGGCCCTTTCATGGTTATATGTTTGGAGAAACGGCTTTGGATGCTAATGATGGGATGTACGCGGTGGCATTTGGGATTGTAAAATCAGAATCATTAGAGAATTGGCTTTGGTTTCTTGAAAATCTGAAAGCAGCATTGAATGAGGACAGAGAAATAATTATCATATCTGATAGAAGTCAAAGTATTATTTCAACTGTTAGGCAAGTATATTCTGATGAGATCCATGCACATTGTTTTCGCCACTTGAAGGAAATTTTTAAAATTCCTAGGAAAATTTCATTTGTCAAAAGCAATAAAGGGGATTCTTGAAGATCATTTAGATATAATTGCTTATACATTTCAGGTGAAGGCATGTGATAGAGCTCTAGATCGAATGAAGAGATTGTGTGCAGAAGCGTATGATTGGGTAATAGAAAGTGAACCTAAACACTAGGCTAATAGCCAATTTCCAAAGAAAAGATACGGTAAATTGTATTCGAATGTTGCTGAAAGTTTTAATGGATGGGTTCTAAAGGAGAGAGAATTGCCAATTATGGTAATTATTGAGAAGACTCGTGAGAAATTAACAAAGTACATTTACAAAAGAAAGAATAAGGCGATCTTATGGAAGCTTTTAGTTAGAAAAAGAATTGATGAAATTTTAGCTTTGAATGTAAAGCTTGGTGAGATGATACAAATCATGTCATGCTCAACTCACATGTTTGAGGTTCATGAAATACATGGAAACTTTGGTGTGGACTTGGAGAGGAAATCATATGGCTGTGGTAAGTGGGAGGCTACTGGACTCCCTTGTGAGCATGGATGCGTAGCCATCATGAAGGCAAATTTGAATGTGTATGATTTTGTTGAAGAGTGCTATCATAAAGAAACATAATGTCAAATATATTCAGAAACCATGTGTCCAGTCCCAACTCATGATATGCCTTCTTTAGATTTTTTTGAGGATGAAACTGATGATGATGGATATATTGATGAATTAAGTGAACCTGACAAGTTACTTCCACCCCGATGTAAAAAACCACCTGGTCGCCCACGAAGAAAACGAATTGAGTCACAACATATTGAAATAAGGGAATTTCATTGCAGTCGATGCAATACAGCCGGGCATAATCGAAAAACTTGTAAACAACCAATTATTGGGTTAGTTTCATGCAATTCGTAATGGAGTATGATTTTATTTATATATATTAATTCCATCTCATCTTTGTTTCTCTTCTAACTTTATTTTTTTCTTCACTTCACAGGTGATGTGATTCTTTAGTGATTGCAATTTTTGAAAGAAGCTGACTTGATTTTTGACTTAAAAGGTTGAAGTTTTGGTGAAAAATCCTGCATCACATCTAGAAGCATACTTTTTGGCATGATGAATTGTTGGCTGGATTTTTTTGTATTAGGTTTTCTTCCTTTGATATTGTAGTTGATGTAATGTATCAAACAATTATTGAGATTGAAGACTAGATTATTCCATTTTTATGTATCAGGTTTTCTTTGATATTGTAGTTGATGTAGTGTATCAGACAATTATTGAGGTTGAAGACTGGATTATTCCATTTTTATGGATAATATTAGCTGATTTAATGTGTTCAAATCCTTGATGATTACATATTTGCTTTTGTTGAGTATATACAAAAATAATAACTCAGCTTGTGGACATGCCCAAAAGAAGAGAAAAGCGGACAAGCAATTATCTCAACTGTTTCGGTGCATCTCTTATATGTTACACGAACTGTAAAGGATAGGAATGTGCGGTGGTGTGAGAACTAAAGAAAGATTTTTGTTCACCATGTTCTTATAGAAGTATATATGGATGATCATATTATTAAGTCCTTGTTTTTGTATTTTCTGTGTATTAATTTGTTTGGTGATTTCACTGTGTTAATTTTCTACCCACGTGAAAAGAATATGAAGATTCCCCAGTCTAATTATTGAAAAGGACAAAAAAGGGTAATGTTGGAAAATAAAATAAATTTGAACTTATTTGGAAATAAATTGTAAAAGTAGGACTTATTTGTCCACAAAAATATTTTTAGGACTTGATTGTCTTTGGGCTTAAAAAGTAGGACTAGGGTGGAATTTTCCCAATGAAATTCCCTTATTTCAATATGGTGTGACTCAATTCATTTTCTTCGTGGACGACCAGGTGGTTTTTTACATCGGGGTGGAAGTAACTTGTCAGGTTCACTTAACTCATTAATATATCCATCATCATCAGTTTCATCCTCAAAAAAATCTAAAGATGGCATATCATGAGTTGGGACTGGACGCATGGTTTCTGAATATATTTGACATTGTGTTTCCTTATGATAGCACTCTTCAACAAAATCATACACATTTAAATTTGCCTTCATGGTGGTTGCGCATCCATTCTCACAAGGGAGTCCAGTAGCCTCCCACTTACCACAGCCACATGATTTCCTCTCTATGTCCACACCAAAGTTTCCATGTATTTCACGAACCTCAAATATGTGAGTTGAGCACGACATGATTTGCATCTTCTCACCTAGCTTTACATTCAAAGCTAAAATTTCATCAATTCTTTTTCCAACTAAAAGCTTCCATAAGATCGCCTTATTTTTTCTTTTGTAAATGTACTTTGTTAACTTCTCACGAGTCTTCTCAATAATTCCCATAATTGGCAATTCTCTCTCCTTTAGAACCCATCCATTAAAACTTTCAGCAACATTCGAATACAATTTACCGTATCTTTTCTTTGGAAATTGGCATTTAGCCCAGTGTTTAGGTTCACTTTCTATTACCCAATCATACGCCTCTGCACACAATCTCTTCATTCGATCTAGAGCTCTATCACATGCCTTCACCTGAAATGTATAAGCAATTATATCTAAATGATCTTCAAGAGTCCCCTTTGTTGCTTTTGACAAATGATATTTTTCTAGGAATTTTAAGAAATTTTCCTTCAAGTGGCGGAAGCAATGTGCATGCATCTCATCAGAATATACTTGCCTAACAGCTGAAATAATACTTTGACTTCTATCAGATATGATAATTATTTCTCTGTCCTCATTCAATGCTGCTTTTAGATTTTCAAGAAACCAAAGCCAATTCTCTAATGATTCTGATTTTACAATCTTAAATGCCACCGGGTATATCCCATTATTAGCATCCAAAGCCGTTGCTTTAAGCATATAACCATGAAAGGGCCCCTTTAAAAAAGTTCCATCAATGAATAATAATGGATGACATCCGGTACGAAATCCATGGAGAGAGCATGATATGCAATAAAAAGCTGATGAAATCTCTGCTCATCATCGCTCATGTATACTGCAATAGTTCTAGGATTTGAACTCTCCAAACACTCACACATCCAAGAAAAAAGCTTATAAGAGTCCTTTATTACCCCATCAACTGCCTCTTTTGCCTTCTCTTTACCCCGCCAAGCTTTCTTATAGCTAATGTTCAAAGAATAATCAGTTGAAAAATCTGAAACAATTTGCATCGGTAGGTAAGCAGGATTTTTTTTTAATCTTTTCCTTCACTATACTCCCAATAAATCTTGCCGGAACTAAAGTTTCATCTCTATTTGATCTTGAGTTGAGTGTATATGCTCTTTTACAAATTTCTTTACCATATAAATCCCAGAATAACCAACTTGGCCAATACTTACTTTCCAAAGACAAGCAACCACAACACACTTGGCCCTTATATACGAAGTATTATTCTTAACATACTTGAACATAAATCGGTTGGCTAGTGCAAACTTATGTAGTACATCTCGAACATTAACAATACCATCAAAAATTTGTCCTTCCTCTTTTATCAATGACTTCCATAAATCTGAAACAAGTGGTGTTACTGAATCAATGCTTGAGGACATAACTGTGACATTGGTAGTTGGTGTTTAGCTTGTGGAATTCCTAGCAATAAATAAAAATTAGTACATGTATGCATTATCCATATTGTAATAAACTCTCTAAAAGAAACAAACACATTTCTTTAAACTTACCTTATATTTTGATGTTTAACTGTTGTTGGATTACATTCTCCAAATGCATAGACATCTGCAATTCTTTCATTAAATCTAAGTAAATTTTTCAATGCATCTTGCCCATTTAAAGGCAATAATCGTGTCTTATCGGCCTAAACACTGTACTTTAATGTTAAAGTACTATCTAAAATTTCAAGTATCTTATGAACATTTCTAACAAATTGATCATACACAACATGTTGATCAATGGAAAAACCATTAATCAAACCACCTTCTTTTCTCACGGACTTGTCAACACATGTTATAATCTTTCCTCCAATATGACAATAACAAAATATGCTTTTCTCAAAGTAAGAATCCACTTTTTAGCCCCTGTTCAATTAACCATCAAATTATAAATATATATATTTATGAAAAAATAATCACCACACAATCCTAATTAACAACAAATCAAGAAATAAATTGCACGAGTTAATAGCATCTCACATGAATTTATAGAAGCATTAAATGACTAGAGAAAATAAAAGAGGAGAGAATGGGGATCCCAAAGATGGGGTAACAACATATCAGTAAACAAATTCTTATTATAAGACCAATCGCCCCACTGAAGATGGAAAGGTAAAAACCATTCCCTTTCAGGATGGGAACAAAATTGGAAAACTTTAATTAAAACTCTGCACATAGTCTAAATCTGGGCCAATCATCAAATCCCCAATCTAAATCTGAAAGATAAAGTTTCAAATAAAAAAATAGAAAGAAGTGCTACCTTACCTGAAATTACCGGAAAAAATGGTGGATGACGATGAATAAGCAAAAAGGTTTTCGCCTTGCTTCGTTTTCTTGATTTGGTGTGGTTCTCTTCGTTTGTTTGAAGGAACTCTATCCACCCGTATCGAATGTTTATTAACCCGCATGAAAAAGAAGATAAAGATTCCAAACCCTATTTGTTGAAAAGGACCAAAAAAAAAAAAAAAGGGGGTAATATTGGAAATAAATTTTTTTGAACTGATTTGGAAATAAGTAGCAAAAGTTAGGACTTGTTTGTCCTCAAAAATTATTTTAGGAATTAATTGTCTTTGAGCTTAAAAAGTAGGACTAGGGTGGAATTTTCCCAAAATTAAAACACATGTGGCCTTAGACCTAAAAGAAAAACAAAGAAAGCACAAACTTAGAACAAGCCTATGGAATAGGCCCAGCAAGGAAATCAAATTCCGACCCCAAACAAAGAATAACTACCAGTAACGGCAAGGCTGTTAGAGGAAACCATGAATTCAATCAGGTGACCTTGTATAGCGGCTGAGCCGCCTTGAAATCAGTCCGGTGGATGGGGAGGAAGTCTGCCACAAGACGGGGAGAGATTCCATTCCATGAGGATAGATGTAAGATGATGAACAATCTCGGAGACAACGCAGCTTCAGGATTGAAGTAATGGTGGAGGAGATCTTTGCACAAATAGTCCTCTGCGAAGCCTTCTGCCCTCTGAAGATTCTAGCATTCCTCTCTTTCCAGGTATGATAAACCAAGGCTAATAACCCTAATTTTCTATGTAGATTTGCTGAATTGTTTGTTTTCCATTGATTGCTAGCCCATAGAACTAGGGAGTCCCAATTCCTGATTGTTGTAGCAATGTTGCACTCGTATTTGATAAAATGCCTGAGAGGGGAGATGAAAGAGCAGTTAAAGTAAAGGTGGTCGTGTGACTCAATAGACATATTGCAAATAGGCCAAATGTTGATGAACTTGGCCATTTATTTGGTATCCAGAGTAGGCAATTTGGATGGGCTGCCAACCAAAGATTGAACTTCATGTCCTTCATCTTAGTAGTAGTATTATAGTACATATATTCACTCATAATATTATTCCTCGAATCTCGTATATCATACCATTTGAATTAACATCCATTGATTCTTTCAAAATTATAAACATGTTAGATTGATGTGTACTGTTCTTCCTCTCTAGTGTGTGCGCGTGTGTGTGTGTGTATAAATAAAAATAAATAAATAAATAAATAACCTATCATCGTAAACTCCCAAAATTATAACATGTTAGACAGGTGTGTACTATTCTCATTGCTTAAATTGGGATAATTTCATTGACACTCCCAGTAGTTTGGTCAAATATCAGTCTAAAATATTTTTCGAAAATAACTATCACTCACATTACAAACGTTTGTTCCGTTTTTCACTCACACCCCAAAAGTTAGTTGACAGGTGTGTCAGACCACTTTTTACATGTAAAAAGACATTCTTACCCTTTGACTTTGATTTGACCAACTAAATTGTTTCTTTAATAATTTAAATGACATATTTACCCTCGTGTAAAAATTGAGCTTTGTTCTGTTAGTGGTGTTTGCCCTGTTGGTAGTGCTACAAGGATGGTGGTCTTGGCTTGGTGGTGGATTACCAATGATGGTGTTAAGCACAAATATATATACATAATAAATATATATATGTGTGTGTGTAAAAAATAAAAAATATAAAGAGAGAGGAAACTGAAAACAAAATTGAATATCAACAAAATCACAAAGACAAATTACTAGGAGACAAAAAAAATAACGCAACAATAAATCTCAATTCTGCACATGAATGATCCAAATAACACAAATGCTAACGTGTGTGTAACTATTTTTATTTGGTAATCTCAATTCATCTTTATATTCTTGAAAATATAAACTTAGAATTTGATCAACCATTTTAAATGAGAAATCCAATATATAGTTATTATTTATTGGACTCCCAGATCCAATTATAATAACTACTGAAACAAAATACACCATGACCCTTATGTATATATATATGCACACATGTATCACCCGCAAGCCATGACCGAATAATTTCAGTGTGTTCTTAATACAAAAATGGTGAGAGGTTCTTCAATAAAATCAGAAGCCTAGAAGAGAAAGAGAAGCAACCCGGAAAGAAAAACAACGAAAATAAATGAAATTTAGAGTTTAGAGAAAGGTTAATGTAAAATTGGTAACCCAATCACCAAAATCTTAACAGAATGATAACAAAAAAAAAGGTTAATGTCAAAAATTCCCAAGTCTGCTGATCTTTTTTCCAATCGATGAGCTTGATAATTAGTAGTGGTCAAGAATTTTTGAAAAAAGAGAAACATATAGCAAAAACAACATATACATTTATGGTGTTTTCTTGACCCGAAACAGCACCAGATCAAATTAGACGCTAAATGAGCGTCGACAACGCCGGTTTGTCCTTGAAGCTCGGGCTCTTCAGCAACTTCTCAAGTCTCGGCGCGTCTTCACCACCCGAAGACCCAGATCAGTTGGGCACCACCGCACCTTCGTTGCTGCTCTGGAAAATCCAATCGCAACCCACGACGACGACATCGGTTAGGCATGTAGGCGACGGTGACGAAGGCACCCAAATCGGTAGACGATGACGCGACTGATGGGCTCTCTGCAGCCGAACACAGCGTGGTTCTTCAGGCACCCTCTATACCTGGGTTTCCTCGGCGCCCCACCATCGTCTCTTGTACCTGCTCCGCCACCGCCGTCTCCTGCACCTGCCTTGCCGCCGCCTGTTGTGCTAACACCGTCGCCGGTGTTGTGCTTGTGTGTATAATATATATATATATATATATATATATATATACTGGTATATGTTTGTATGCGACCAGATAGAGATAGAGGAGAGAGAAATAGTATGATTAAAAAACTAATCTAATAATTTAATTAGGGGTATAATAGTCATTTAGGGTATTTAATATTTTAGAATAAATGTGATTAAAAAATTAAGGACAAAGTTGTCTTTTTCTATGCTTTTAACAGAGACTGTGACAGAAAAGTGAAAATGGACCTAAGTGATAGTTATTTTTTAAAGATGTTTTAAACTGATATTTGACCAAATTAGAGTGTCAGTGAAATTATCCCGCTTAAATTAGATCTTGCTTCTATATTTTGTCAAGACAATTATTTTGATGGTTAATGAATAACAAAATGACTAATTTGTTAATTTCAGCATCTAATATGAATTGTTTTAATTTATCTAAGATGATGAACATATCATCCTCATTTCATTAAAAAGAAACCAGCAATACTATTAATACTCATCAAATCTAATGTTACGTTCGGTAAGAAGAAAAAAAGAGGGGTGGAAGAAAAATAGAAAGAAATGAACAAATTAAGTTGTATATGGCTACATTTTGGTTGGTGGGATGATGATAAAAGAAGGAAAAGAAAAGAAAGAAATGGAGGGAAATGAAATAATGTTTTTGGTATAGTTTTTTAAAAGGAAAAGAAAGGGAACGGAGAAGTTTGAAAGGATTCAAATTCTGCATGAAATGTTAGTTTTTGTAATCCTCCCAAAAAGGAAGAAAATGAAAAAAAAAAAAAATGATAACATTTTTAATGAAACTTTTGTAATACCGAATTTGCCCTTACTTTTATAAAAGGCAAAATTTATGAAAAATAGTATAATAGCAAATTTATTTAAATAGTTTCATTTCCTTTCTTTTTCCAAGTATGATTACTATTTCTTTACTAATAAACCAAACACGATGACAATGAGTCCAAGAGTGATTAACAATGTTCTCTCCTTTTCTTTATTTCTTTTCTCCCCTAGCTATTGCAATCCTTTCTTTTCTTTTATTTTACACTGCGTCAAACATAGCCTTAAACTTTTTGCTTGCTTTATTCAATTCCTTTTATTCCAGGACATTGAAGATTCAAAAATGCACAATAACTCTTATATTTGTCTTTCTCTTCTTATTCCTTGTTTTGTTTCCATATGCACTTTTTCCTTATGAATTTGTTTTGTTTTTATTTTTATTTTTTTTATATGATATTATAAAAACATTAATAATTATGGGGGAGATGGTTTATTCTGGGGCCACTGGGAGATATAACCCATCAAGTGTGTGGTCTTAAT